TGCGTTGTTAAAGTGACGCGTTTTTGCCCAGCTCGACGTGCAGTCGCCAAAATATTATTGCATCTCGCAAAAAGTATGGAGACGGAATGGTGTCGACTGTATTCGTGAAGTTACTGCTGTCAATAAAAATACTCATGAATATATTTTGCCGTGTATTTTTGCAACAACTCTTTTAATGCTACATACAGGACAACATAAAAACATAGACAAATACAAAAATAAGATTATAAAATATTGCGTTGTTCAATCCGACCATACATTATTATTTTCTATCAACATTAATTTATAAAATATTATTCTTAATTAGATCAAAGGCTGCGCATCCCAAAATTATGTTGGTACACGGCTGCCGTCAGAGCCATGGGGCCTTATGGCTCGGGCGGAAGACATCTTTTTTTTGGCCAACATAATAGAGCTGATGCGTGGCCTTTGAATTAGATAAAAGCTTTATTTAGCTGAGCTTCCTTATAATTTTATTGGATAATAAGAGGAATCTACCATGCAACAAAACTACATTTAGAAATGAAAATTAATAATAATTAATTTTTAATGAATATTACCTCACGACCTGGGTGTTTAACATCAGCATTATAATGTTTGAGCTAATTGAAACTGTTAAGCCTTAAAATAAACATCAATGAATAAATGCTTTGAAATTTCTAGTCTCTCTCCCGCATTACGTAAAATCAATTTCAAATTAATATACAACAAAATCAGAAATTTCTACAAAGTATGGTTAAAATGCAATTTTCGGAGAGAGAAAATTATTCTAATGGATCTTACAAAAATTTCTCACTGAAGTTTGTCGATTGCTCAATTCTGTTTAACCCTTGAATATTATAATGAATGAGAAAACTTTTAAGCTTCGGCTTGTGTTTCATCTCAGTCCGTCCAGATAAAAAAAGAACACAAAGTTGCTATAAAATGCGCGAGTAGTGCAAAGAACTCGTGCAAACAAACAGCCGCGCCGGCGGCTGCAAAAGTTTTAATCATCGCCAGCCGTTGAGTCATTAGACGAAATTAAACATTCTTCTGCAAAAGCAGAAGACGAGTAGTTTATCTTCGCCCATATTTTATATATGCAATAAAGTGCAAATTTGCACAACAAGCGACGCCTTTAATATTAATATGCGCACATTATTATTGGTCGATCACGGTCTGGCCGGCTTCGGACCGACACACGCGGGCTGTAAATTAATAATTGAGCTGCCCGCGGCGTCCAATAAAGATGAATTGCAGCAGGGTACGTTGCATCGTGATGGGGCGATCCAATTATTCCGCCGACGACCTTATCATCGCTCGGCCGTCGTAAACTTTTCCGCCTCAATTTCCCTCCTGCCATGAAGCAGAGATTCGCGAGTTATGCAACCTGCACGGTGAAGCCGTTCTGCCGGTCGCATACTTTGCAAACCTGCAGGCGCTCTTTCGTGCCGCTGCCTTCCCAAGAGACGTAGTGATAAATGATCCAACTTCAAGTTCACATAAGTTTTTTTTTAGCAATATCAAATAAAGTTTTTTCAGACAAGTTCGGATGGATTTTCTGCACTTACAAGAGAAGGACAATTTAAAAAAACTTTTCACCTGGAAAAAATGTGAATTTATTTTTGCAAATGAGTTTAGGCGTTAAAATATAAAAATACACACTGCCCTAGATATTTTTCTTACTTTTAAATTCAGCCCTGATCAATTAGATATTGTCAAGGGTTACAATTTTTTTCTGAATTATTTTAAATTCCGTTAAATTTTTTCAAATTTTTTTTATCGATTTGTATGATCAGAATCATATTTTGAATTAAAAAACTGCACAGTTATTAGTTTTTTCGTGGATTTTTTACTACCATTTATGTTGCGATTGTTTCTCCTGATTGCAGAAAAGGAAGGGGGAAAATTTTGGGAGATTCCCAAATAAAAAACGAGATGAAGTGAAGGAGTTTTGTTTTGTTCTTTCGATAAGCCGAAGAACTCAATGATGAATTTTTATGTTAATTCGAGTTTTGCTTTTCATGAAATTTATACCTTCGATATCAAGCAGCAATTTTAATCCCCTGTTTATTATACATAGAAAAACTTTGGTATTCGTTGCAGAATTTTCCGCCCTAGAGATACCTCTCAACAACACAGATTGCCTTTTATTCTCTCCAGATTTCCACTTATATCCCTTTTGTAGCAAAATCTCATCGTCCTCTCTCGCTGAAATAAAAGTGCGCCGAGTCTCCACACGGGTAAACAGCGATTTGCCGCAAAGTTGCACGCTCTTGTAAACATTGGCTCTGCGCAAAAAACCGTTTCCCGTCGAGTATAATTTATGTATGCAAGCAAAAACTTTTTATTTTCACTGAGCAGATTAATTTAAATCAGATTAAATCGGTGATTTTTTTTTTTACTCACACAAAAACATTGATGGGAATAAATTTCAGGATATTTGCATTTAAAATATAAACAATCCACAATGATTTTTTTGAAAAATAATTTGAATTTTATGCTGGGCCTTTTAACGATTTTACTGTTCTTTTGAATTACAAAAGCGGCTTTTATGGAGTCTGCGGATAACGGCAGGCGTTTCTCCTTGTTGTTGCCATGGCGTTTTATTGAATTCGACGACGCCGCTGCGTCGACGTACGTCGTCACGTTGCATCACTCGGTGCGCGCATCTCATTACTCCCACCGGCGGTGCACATTAATTTCGCAACACACAGGCACCGCCCTTTCATATACATATATCGAGAGCGTAGGAACACACAAATGAAAATTTTGCACAGACCGGCTGCTTTGCTAATTTGCCGCCGACCAAAAGCGAACTCGCAGCCGCTGGCCATAAATTGCGTGTTTGTCGAACGTCTGCCCTGTTCTATGAGTGGCGTTTTTGCGCCGACAGCATACGATTAATTCGCCTTTATGTGCGTGGATTTGCATATAAAATAGATGTAGCCGGCAGCTGAAATTAATTTATCTTCAAAGGGATTGATTAAAATGATAAAAAAATCTTGTTTTTTACTACTGCAGTTAAAATCAATTTATCCAATTTTGAACAATTATTATGTATTAATTATTTTTATTCCAAATTATTGAAATCTTGGCCAAATTACATCTAAATTATTCTAAGTTGAATTTCTTCAATAGGTGTAATATCAATTTTTTAGCCATTCTTGAAATTCAGTTATAATAAAAATAATCATTAAATTTCAAAATTATTTTTTTAGTTACTTTCCCAACCTTCGTTTCTTATTCTTACTTTTTCCAGGAAATCATTGGCGTGCAATTTTCTTGGCTCCACGTCAGGCAATCGCAGAAAAGTGCAAACTCAGGTCTCCGCCGGCTCTCTCTGTTTGCGCCGAAAAACTCTTTCTTATATATTTTGGCGTCGTACATGCATCTCTAACTCCAACTGCATTACATCCTAATTAAAAGACGAGCAGATTTGGAAGATTTTCTTTTCATTCTTAACAAGAGGGCTCTTCTCTTTTGATCCTTGCAGACACTGATGAAAAATGTTGCGGCGGACCTCGTCGGCCCTACCCTAATAACACAGTTGTTGGCCCCAACCACCTCTCTTTCTCGCAGCAAGATCAATATATGAAGTCGCCAGAGTGAAGCTATTCCTTTCAAAGCTCTCTCCGATATACTCTGTAATTTTCGTTCTGGTCGCAGCTGTCGCGCCCCGCAATAAAAAAAAGCTCGGTTCGAAGTCAACTCTCATTGAAATAAATCTCCACTGACAGTCTTTTTCAACTGAAGAAATAAAGAAAGAAAATCCGATAGGGCGTGTCTTTGCCTCCGAACGGCGCAAACTGGTAATTACTATTATAATTATCAAGTCGACGTTTCGATTAATGAATACATATGGAGCCGAAACTGATTTGTGTGTACCAGTTGAGCTCAGCTGCCGTGTAATGGCCATGTAATTATCCCCGTGACAAGAGCCCATTATTCAGCTGGCTAACTGGATTAGTGGTCGATCCAGAGACCAATCTAATTGCAAATTAACCTGACGGACCGAACTCACTTTTTGACACTTGATCCGGTGCGAAAGAGCTGCAAAGCGCTTCAATTTCCACAATTTTTTTTTTAATTCGATCATTTAGATTCAATTATAAGTAAAGTTATGTATGTTTTTGAATCCAATTAAAATATTAAATGTGCTGCTGAAATAAAAATTTAATAAAGTCACAAAAAATTATACAAGTTTGATCACGAGTCGTTGTTTTAGCTCCACTTTCAGCTTGATGGATGGTAATTTTTCATACACGCGTGCAGTGCCTGTCCCGTTTAACATTTGGGTGTTGGTCGCTGGGGTGGGGTAGGTCAGGGGGTTGCGTCGGCCCGAGGGTGCGAGAGAGCCGCGCAGAGGAGAGCGAAACCGATCGATGTCAGACCAATGGACGGGTCGATGAGTCTCGTCTGGCCCGAGATGTGCGAAAGCGGAGAAATTCCCTCCCCGAAAATTTTGGCACCACACGAAATTACGCACCCCCAACAGTCTGCAACCCCTTTCACTCGCCCCCATCACCCTTGCCGCGAACTAATTTTATGAAAGCTGAAATTTTCAACAATTTTATACTTTTCACCAAGTCAGCGAGAGCGTGAGAAGAAAAATATTTCTTTTCATTTTTTGCTCGGAAGCTTGATTAGGCGTAAAGAGGCGTAAAAACTAAAAAATAATGAGTTTTTGCGTTATAAAAGGTCAGCAGTGGAGGGTACATTATTAAGTTTCTACTTCTGAAAGAAATTCTCATTTATGTATCCCTGTTTACTTAAATGTCTAGAAATCAGACCAATAAGGTTGGGGTTTGAGTCGTCTGGCCAGTGATGTGCTAAAGCGGAGAAATGCTCTCCTCAAAAAATTTCGCACACCCCCAAAAGTTGACAATTCCTTTCACTCGCCCCATCACCTTGGCTGACAACTGATTTTAATAAGTGGTTCCTGTGCTTGAATCCTATGGCAATAAAAATTGGCATGCTAACTTAGGTTTTTTTTAATGTAATATTTAATATTGAAATAAATCACGTTTGTTTGATCAGAATTTTTGAGTTTTATTTCACTTTTTTTTTTAATTCTGGTGTCCATAACAAAGTTTACAATGTTCACTTGAATGTGCATTGATTCCATTTCTTTCATCAGATAAATCAACTTAAAAAGTTTGGGATTTACTCTCTACCGCAATAGTAATTTCCTTTCTTTCATACGTCAATTTAAAATTCATCGAAGCAGATCACAGAAGAAATGATAAATATACTTTAATTATTATAATCGTAGTTGCAGCATAGTGAATATCGACGTGTTTGCCGAGCCGAGACTACTACACAAAAAGAGTTACCTTGCATAACAGTTAATGAAATACATCTTGTGTGTCTGTTGCATGTGAGGAAACACTAGAAAATGCAAAAACTGTATCTTACATCTCCACCGCTTGCTTGCGATTTTCTCGGAGAAAAATTTTCATACATCTACTGCCATCATTGAATCCACTACCGACAATGCAACAAAGATCCGCGCGTTTCTTGTAAATTACTTCTTTCTGTCGTCAAAGAGTCGCAGTGCTGCGATCTGACCATCAATTAATTGGGCGAGTGCAGTCCATCGCGTGCACCCGACAACTTGACAGTGGAATGTGAAGAGCAGCACAAACGGGAGGAAAACAAACGGTTAATACTGTCTCTTGCTGCTGCGAGCAACAAACGGACCACAATCAAGGAGAACTCAAACCAGGATGATTATCACATCTCAAGGAGGACGAGGAGGGGAATCGATTAATTCATTCTCTCCGGCGGCTCAGTGATTGTCCTCCGGAGCGAACCAAACAACAAACTGTCTTTGGAGAGTTTCACTCGACGCACTGGGCGGCCGGTTTGCTGCCCTCCTCTTTGGTTATGCTCTCTTCCTTGACGTCACTTGGTGCCACGGCGGGGGCCACCACCGGCCCCTTGCTCACGGTCGGCACTCCCACCGGCTGCTTCTTCTCAACAGTTTTCTTTGTCAAGTCAACAGGCAAAGCGGCTGGCGGCGCTGATACTGGGCTGCTGCCGTTAGTTTCTTTGTTTGGATTGTTAGTCGGCTGCTTATCGCCGCTTGGTTGATCAATTTTCGGAATCAAGTTGGATCCTAGGAAATGAAATCAATTGATGAATATCTTGATTATTTGATAGATATAAATTTGAATTACACAGGAGCACGTTTGTTTGGCAAATAAACGACTCAGTCGCTGTCGATTAATTTTATGATTACTAGCAAAATTAAGAGAGCAGAACATACCTTGGCCAGAGTGGCCGCCCTTGCCTCGCTGCTGCTGGTTGGTTGGCATGCGGGGCCTGTTTGGTCCAGACATAGAGTTCTGTTGGAAATTGGGTCTCTGGATAGGTGATGGGTATGAGGGGCCTCGTGGACCACTGTTACGTCCTCCGCCAACCATGCTCTGTTGCAATCCCTTCAAATGAAAATAAATACAACTTCAATCACACAATGTTATCAATAGTCGTAGAGTTACATTAAAAAAAAACAGATACCAAATTCACTTATAATTTTTGTAGGTAGAATTGATTTGGGTGAATTAAAAAATTAATAATTAAATGGAGTATTTGAAATAAGACATTATAAAATAATAAAATTAATAATCACCATGGAGTTAGACGAGTAGCCACCATACTTCTGACCCTGCTGCTGATTCTGCTGGCCGAGGGTGGGACTGGGAAGAGGAGGCTGCTTGTTCATCGAGTTTCCACCACCCGAGTTGCCTCTACCCTTGGGAGAAGCGTTCATCTGCGAACTGGAGAAAACCGAGGGGCCCAGCTGGTCCTGAGCAGGCGATTTCAATTGTCGGCCGCTCAGGTCTGAGGCGTTCTGCTGGGCTGACTTCATGTAGTTTGCAGCAGCAACATTTCCTGCATTGCGATAACCTTGAACTGCAGCTGCAACCATCTGGGGTGTGGTGTTGAATCCAGGGATTGAGCCAGAGTTGGCTGTGTTCTGCGCAAAACCTGACATGTTGGTTGCGTAAGGGTTGTTCGAGCTGTGAAGAGCTCCTGCGGCCGCGGCACTCGGGTGTGGAGGAGGCGGGTTGTTCGTCTGGTAAAAAGCGCCCTGTCCGGCTGAAATAGGATTTCAACATTACTTATTTTTTTTTTGTAATAATACTGATTTATTAATGAGAAGAGGTTTAAATATATTATTATTTCCAAAGTTATAATTTAACTTACGTGCTGCAGAGTTGGAGAAGTATGAGGACGGCGCCTGGATGGCGGGAACAACATTGTTCTGTACTTGCGTCTGCCTCTGCACCAGTGGGGCAGCATTCGTCATAAAGCCTGGACCACTCAATCCCAGCAGATTTGCTGCTGCAGCTTGATGATCGTAGATGTACATTGCGTTTGGCTGTGGATTTAAATATAACATAAATTATACTGTACACAGAGATTTATTGTTAGTTTTGTTTGTTTGTTTAACAAAACAATTCAAAATGTAAAATCTTATTGAAAATTTTAGCACACTTAGTACTTAGAGGAATTCTGACTCCTGCTGTTTTTCAAAATTAAAATTCCTAAGAGTAGCTTTAAGTTTTCACATAAAATTTTTGTTCGTTACAGTTAAAAATTCCATTGTATATTTATTGGGTTACTTGCTTTGTATGGTACCTGTGGAGGGGGTGGTGGAGCAGATGTTTGGAAGCCCTTGCTGCCTATTGCTCCAATCGGCTGTGTGCTAGGCTTCACACTGGCAGACATGAGCGAGTTGGAAGTTGTCGAGATCAACACTGTGCTCGGGTTGCTTGTCACATGTTGTGTCTGTCCATATGGAGTGGCAGTGGCCTGGAAGCGGAGATAAAAACATTGTTAAAGTCGGGAAGCCTATGAAGTTTTAACTAAAAAATTATATTCTTAAAATTTTTGAAGTATTATAGCTCAGATTTAAAAGTGCTAGAAAATTTTCGATAAGATAATTACTTGTAGTCGGTACTGAGAGAGCGAAGGGGGGTACATGTCAGAGCCCTGTGCAGTAGGAGGTGGTGGAGGAGGCTGCTGCATGTAGAGCGACTGCTGGGAGAATCCAGTGGCCGCGTTATTGTTTCCCAGGCCATAGGGTGGGTATTGCGAGTACTGAGATCTCTGGTTGTCCAACTGGAAGGTGCTGTAAAGACCGCTAGCCTGCTGCAGCTGCTGGTTGGTGTTGAAGAGGACCGTTGGAGGAGACGGGATGGCTGAGATGCCACCAAAGCCAGGTGCAGCAGTACCTGTGTGCTGCCAACAAGACATGTTGTCAACCCCAGCCGAACGTTGCACTGCCGTGTAGCCAAGGTGGCTGTGCTGTGATGAGGTTGAAGATGAATTGTAGGGTGGCGGAGACAGCTGGTTCTGATGGCCAATAGGCGATTGACCTGCAGACATAGCCATCTGCTGCTGCTGGGGCTTTACTTTGCACACATTACTTGATGTTGTTGTCGGGTCCGTCTTTCCTGCCAGGCTTGTAGCAGATAATCCGCCAGGGACGGCTGCATAAGTGCCGCCAGAAACAATAGTCTGTCCAACGCTAAAAATTTGAAGGAATAAAGTAAAAAATTAATTAATACACATAACATAACAAACATATCTTGTATTGCAATAAATGTGGTAATTAAAATGAATTTTTGAAAGAGTCAACAATACCTGTAAGAAACATCAGTGGGTAAATTCTCTTCTGAAGATGCCTCTTTGAATGAGGAGTCCAGCGCCTGCTCGAATCCAGCAGTTGAAAAGTCATCCTGAGAATGCTCAAGAACGGTGGGCATGGTTGCATTTTCCCAGACCTGTTGGAGCATTGAATTGTTTAAATCCTACAAATTTAGTAATAATCATTATTTACCTTTTTGACTGAAGCAATTTTTAAGTTCAGCTCGGCTGTGGATGGGGACATTGTTGAGTTGGAAGAAACTGATGAAGGGGCTGATGAGACGCTGTGTCCTCCAGATCTTGTTTTGTTCTTGTCCTCGAGCAACTCGGAAGAGTCAAAAGCAAAGTCCAATTTCATATCAGCTGTGTCTTCTCCCTGTAAGAGTGGCTCAATGAGACAGAAACAAGGTGAGCCGCTCAAATCACATGCAGATTGTCCATAATGGGGCAAAATGAAGGAAACAAGAAATAAAATAATAAAATGTCTGCCAGTAAAGTCCAGTGTATCATGACAAAATAAAAATGCTCAGCAGCAAAATGGGTTCAAAGAAAGACAGTGAAGTGGCAGATGAGTGGGAAACTAGCTTGTTGAAATAAATCAATGGATGCTATACACGTCTCCCAATTTGCCGGTGAAAAATCATCAAAAAAACGTAGGGTACAAACAAAGGGCAGCGGACCAACAAATGAAAAGAAAAACCAAGGATGAATTAATCAATACGAATTGGCTGCCAGGCAAATGCAGAAGCGCCCTACCTTCTTCAACCCTAACTGAAGACCGACTGAATCACAAAACGGAAGGTCGTTACTTTTACTTTCACTGCCAATCATTGCTGGGGGAACAGAGAGATTTGAGTTGAACTGTCGGTGAAGTGGCAAGCGATTGATCGACTCACTCCTTGGCATAGATGCTAGAGCGGAGTTAGGCAAAAATGACTTTGCAGACGATTCTCTGCTATTGGCCGATCGCAGGTTAGTGTTTTCGAAGACAATAGTCTGCGATAATCCCGTGCTGCCTTCGACAGTTGCCTTCAAAACGAGCGATTCTCAGTCAATCGAGGGAAACGATTAGCATTGATTTACATTTATTTCATTTTTATATTAACTTTGTGGCTCTTTAAGTTGACTTGTAAATTGCTCTAAACGAGCCACTGGACTATACTGCAGAGAGGTTTAATTGAAGAAGAACTTACCTCAACAGGAGTGATTTGTGGCACAGGCAAGCTTCCATTTGTATCCTGATCTATGAGAGTTACACTGCAAATAATGAAGGAAACATTGAACTTTCTTTAAAAAAAATCATCTAAAATAAGTTTTGAAATTTTAACATGATATTATTTAAGAGTGAATGTTGCATAATTATTAATAATTCATTTTTTCATAAAATGTTTCTTACCATGACGCGAGTGGAGATCCTCCCCTGAGTGGGTCGGCCAATGATTTGTCCCACGAGTTGCTGTGACTCGAGTCTCCACTGACATACATGTCCAGCATTTCAGTTCCTAGGTGGTGCGGCATGTTTGCTGCAGCTTTGTTCATCCTATTAACTTCCTTCTGCTTGGCCAAGCGGGGTGGCAACTTTGATGCCCTTGAACGGTCATGAGGTCGTTCATAATTGCCAGACTTTGGGCCAGGCTTCATGCCCATGGGCATCTGCTGTTGCTGCCCTTGAGGTGGCGGAGGCCCAAAGGGACCTTTGCCTCCACGGTTGATTGGTGGCCCGCGGTCCCTTGGTGGTGAGTTGGACCTTTTCTTCTTTTGATAGTTATAGGAAGAGAGAAACTGCGAGCCGTCAGCATCAGGTGAAATCTGGTCATCGACCAATGAAGTCACAGCAGCATAAGTACTAATGTCCAAAGCGTCAAGAGCACTCTTCTCCTTTTCCAGTCTCTTCGCTGCTTCTGTCAACGGCACATTCTCTTTCTTGCCCTGCCCCATTGACCTAGCACCCTGAAATCACAAAATTTAAATTGGTTTAGCAAAGCGTTTTACCTCAGATTATTTTTTATCAAAGTAATTCAAAAAAATTATCAATTTTTACTTACAACTGATCCCAGTCCATTCTTCTTCTCAGCACCAGGAGCCTTTGATGTGGTCAGGCTAGGAGTACTGAAGTGATTTGACCTGGGACTGGCACCCTTTCGCGGTCCACGGCCCTCTTGGTCATCTTCAGAGTCAGACAAAGAATCCCACGTCTCGTCATTATGCTCCTCGGCAGTCTTCTCACCCCTTGAAGGTGATTTTGCACCCTTGCCTTTCCGTCTACCACTCTTTTCAGAACCATCCTTAGCTTTCTGCATGCGTGGCGGCATGGGCTGTTGTTTTCCCTGCTTGGCGTTTGCCACAGAACTAGATAGAGGCACCATCCCGCCAAGTTTAGTTTTGTTCATGTCGTCTCCAGTTTTCGAGTCAGACTTCCGATTTTCATCCCGATTGCCGAAAGGACTCTTGGCTGGTGGCCCATAGCCGTCTATACCTCGTCCCATTCCTCCTCTGGGTCTGGAGTTGCTGCCGCCGCCCCTTCCACGCCTTGAAGGTTCGCCCCTGGGGGCAAAACCTTCCTTCGAATTGCCAGGCTTTGACATTTTTTCCCCAGACTTTTTCTCGCTGCCAATGATTGTTCCTTTTCTCTCATCAGGGCCATCTTTCAACTGCTTTGGAGGCTTTCTCACACGCTTGTCATCTTTCACCGCATCCTTGGGCATGATTTCTTCATCACTCAGATCAGACTCATCCTCTCCCCAAGCTTTGCCAGGTTTGCTTCCTGGTGCAGGGTGCAATTTAGAGCCTCTGCCCTTTCCACGACCATCCGAAAGTTTTCCGTCTCCAGCGCGAGGAACCTCGCCAGTGCGAGCCCAAGTCTTAGCAAAGGCGTTTCCACCAGTTGACCAGTTTGCATCACGGTTATCCCTATTGTCGCGGTTGTCCCGGCCATCCTTGCCTGCACGTGGGCCTCGTTCTCCTCTCTGGCCGCGCCCTTTGGCTTTTCTATCATCATCAAGCTTTGAGAGGTCGTCTTTCTTGGAGTCAATCTTGCCCATGTCCAACTTGGAGTCGTCATCTCCTCTTAGTTTGGCTACCAAAGAGTCATCTCGAGACCAAGCATCAAGTTTTGGTCCTCGTTTGCCCCTCGAGTCATCACTTCTCTCAGAGTCTTGTCGCTGATGCTGCACTTGGCCCATATTCCATTTGTCTGCGCGTGGTTTTCCTTTCAGCGCCATGTCCACTATCAGCGGTGGCGGGGTCGCATCTTTGAACTTCAGACACAAGTCTTTGTCATCAAATGGATCAATCTGACTATGGGGAGGGAGAATTTCCTGATGACAAAAGAAAGTGTTGCTTTAAAATCAACACTACTGACTGATTTGAACTGTGAAATATGTTGAATTTATAGAAAAACAGAAAACATTAGATATTGCATATTGCTCACTGTTGGCTTCAGAGATAATTTGAATACTATTATCAATATGCTTTTAACAGGAGTGCAACAAAATCAGAAGCTGATAAAAAGCGATATAACGGGAAAATGTATGCAAATTACTCACCATGCATTCATTGTTTCCATAGTCCTTCTCCCTATGCCCAATTTCAGATGGCTCGCTTCTCTCTTCGGAAGACTGCTGCCTGTTGTAGTGATCATCATCAGATTTGTCCTTCCTGGAGCCTTCAGAGATTTTCCTGCCATCTCTTCTAGACCCTTGATACCTATCATGGCGGTCACCATGTCTCTGTTTGTCCTGGTCCCTGCCCTTTTGATCTTCAAAGTCATCTTGCTCCTGCGAACTCCTGCGACGCGCCTGACCCCTTCCTGATGAGACTATGTTGTTCAAGTTCCACCTCTGTTCGAAGTTAGGAGGAGGAGGAATGGGGGTGGCCAAAAGTGGAGGTGGCGTGTTTGTCTGTGGGGGTGGCGGAGAAACGCCCTTCTGGCCCGGTTTATTTGTTCGCAGCAGCATCTGCTTCTGCTTAGCAAATCGAGGAGGGAGGTCTTCTGAAAACTTTGGTGAAAAAGCGACATTCTCATGTGCGCCTTCTCGAGGCCTCTCCTTCCTCTGTTCTCCTTCAGTTGCACTAGGCAGGCTTTCTGGCCTGCTGCTTTCCTCCACCTGCTTCACCCAGGAGTCAGACCCTTCCATTGAAGACTTTACTTTGTCATCGACTTCTTTTTCATTTAGCAACTCAGCCTTGCCACCTGCACCTGAATTGACTCCCATTTTCTCCTCCAGCATTTGCAGCTTTTTGGCGGCTGCTTCTCTTTGATCCTTGAATCTCTTTTCTTCCTCCTCTTTGCGTTGCTTTGCTCTTTCGACGGCCAAAGCAACATCTTCACTTTGTTGGCGCCTCTTTTCTCTCCAAAACTCTTCGTCTCCTATCAATGCAATGGGAGGACCCGCACCACTGTTACCACCAAATGTTTGCTTGCCAGGGAATGCTGGTGCGCCCTGCTAAAAATTCAAGTTCAATATTCAACCTACAAAAATAATTTATGATTTGGCATACCCTGCTGCCGCGCTGCGCAGCATCTTGCTTGTCACTTTGTTTACTTGGCCTACTTTGCGAGCCCTCATCACCTTCTTCATCACTAAACGACAACTTTTGGCTGCAGAATAAATTTTATTAACCTACATTCTTCACATTTTTCAATTTCAACTCACTTGTAATCAATATCATCAGTGGTTGCCCAACCGTTGTCCCTAACTATTTCATCCATCTGCTTCAAATCCTCTTCCTTTATTATGGGCCTTGAGAACAATGCATCGTCGTCTACAGGACGCTGAGATGGATATCTTTGCCTAAAATATAGCATTTAATTATTATCTTAACACGCACAAAAAAGCGATACACACCCTTGTGGTTGCCTTGATTGATCTGGATAGCGTTGTCTGGAGTTGGTGTTTCCTTGGAAGGTAGGAGGGAAATTTGATGGGCCGCCTCCAGGGCCGAAGTTGCGGTACATAAAAGGTGGAATTATGCCCCGCAATTGTGGCGGCAGCGGGGCTGCCAACGAAGGGCCTCCCTGGCCCGAGGCCGGCGGTGCAGCCCCCAGAGGGCCCGAGTTGCCTTTGCCCAGGTCCATTGCCGCTCCACCACGAGCGTCCCCCACAACAAGTAGACCACCAGGCAACGGAGGAGCTCGTGCCATCCCACCTTGCATCCAACTTCCTTCGGCTGCAGGAAAAAGAAAAATTACTCAACAAAATAGATTTTTTTGACCCGCATTAAACTCGCTACTAAAATTTAACTTGAAATTATTTTTAATTTATTAATTAAAGATACAAATTTAGAGATTGTAACAAGTCTTCTTCCAGAAAAAGATTTTCAAGTGTTTAAAATTTTTTTTTATCAACTGACAATCATGATTTTGAAATATTGAGATAAACAAATTACAAAAACTTAGTAATTGAGGCAAAGCATTGATATTAAATATAAGGACAAAAATTGGTTCTTACTTTGGGGACGAAGACTTGGTCCCGGACCGTATTGCACATCTTGGGCTGTGCTCTTGGCACCCTGCTGATCGGTGGAGAGGGAGGGAAACTCTTGCTGGAACATGGGGTTTTGGTGTGCAAGGAAGGAAGGTCCGTTGTCGGGGCCGCCTTGGCCTCCACCGCCGCTCATGAGGCTGCTCCATAGCTTCTCTTGGGGACCACTGCTTTTGGCCGCCACAGGCACAGAGACTGGGGGTGTGACCGGAGGGGCAGTTGAGGGCAAGGAGGGCGCTGGGGTCGCTGCCCCGGAGGCAGAGGTAGAGAGTTGGTTCGTAGCAGGCGCCGTCTGGCCGCTGGTTGAGCTGCTGGCTGTTGCTGTGGTTGCTGACTCTTCCGATTCGCCTTTGGCACCCCATCCTGCGCCACCTGAGGGTACAAGGGAAACTGGAGGTTCCTGACCGCTGTGCTCAGATTTCAAGCTGGGAAGGTTGGCCGGGGGCCGCCGGGCTGACGGCACTTTGCCCAAGCTTTGCATGCCATGTTTACGAGGAAGGGTTTTCTGTTGAGGCTCGGCTGATTCTCCCTGGAAAACAAACATTATTGTGCGTTATTGGACTTTAAGAACTCTGGAATTCTCCAGACATTTTCACAAGAAATTTAAACTTACGAGGGTTGATCTGTAGAGACTATTTATATCCAGGGACTGGAACTTGGCCTTTCCTTTCTCCCCCTTTGATGCTAGCCCGGAAACTGCAGACATGTCGACTACACGCCACCATTTAGGGGTGGTGACTCAATGAGCGAACCTTTAGCCTGAAATTTGACAGGTCGAATTAGAATCTTGGCGTTGTTTCCGTTCGACTTGTGGAATTGGCCCAAAGTCACCGATGCGAGAGAGATCCGATTTGCGGATCAGGCCCAAGGTTAAGACGTCATAAACGTATGCAGATCGCGCACTAGCCAAGTAACCGCGCAATGCATGAATACGATTATATAGTGGACAAAATTGACGATGTTGCAAAATCCTATTGATTGGTTTTGATTGAGTAACGACTAAAAATAAAAATACATATTCCCCGAGAGTATGAAATCGTAGGAAATTTGCACTAAAAATAGTACTAGATTAAAAGTTAAGACTTAAATAAAAAATAATAAAACTTACTCTCAGAAGGCTCGAGAGGAAAGATTTGCAAAAAAAAAACCGAGGCACAAACAACGTCAATGGAGCGCAGTTTGGATTCGAAAATACAAACAGAAAGTGAAGGAATTAGGTTAAAGTGAGAATAAGGGTGGCAAATTGAGACACGAAACTTTTGAGCTGGATAAAGAGAGTCGTAAAATTTGTTGGGCATTGACACGGCAAACGGGCTCGGAATATTTGGTTTTGCGATTTACGACTTTGTGGAGTCATTTCTTGAGGGCCCGTTTCTGAGACGATTTTCGTCTCTAGCTCGAAGCGAAACTCACCTTGGTCCGCCCAAAAATGCAGAGGATAAAAAACTCCTTCGAAATCTCCCGAGGGTTCAGTTGCGGGACGGATGATGACGGATTTTGCGCTCGGAAATCCTGGGTTTATTCTCAGGAATTTTCAAAAGCAAGATGGCGAACGTAGATTCGACCGGGGATCTTGCACAGGCTTGAGCGCTGCTGCCGTTTCACCCCGCAAAACGCCCTTAACAATCGGTGGCGCGCTCTGTGAGCAGACGTCAAAAGTTTGGAACTACGCCGAAGGACGCGCTCTCATTGGTCCAGAGCAGAGGGCAACACCCTTTGGGATTCAGCTGATTTGATTTTTTTCTTTGTTTTCCCACTCGGCACGGGGACAGGTGGAATTATATTCGCAATTTCTTCTTTTTTAATGCAGTAGAGAGAAATCTTAAACAGTTACAATGGCCATGAACGAAGAGGCGCAGCAGCAACTGCAGGAAATCACCGACTTGCTGGTGGCCGCTGGCTATTTTCGAGCGCGAATCAAAACACTGCCGGCCTTCGACAAAGTTAGTTTGTACACAAATTAATTTATTTTTAAACACCCAATTATTTGCTTGTATTGTCTGGGCCAAGTCTTACTCATCGTTAAACGCAGGTCGTTGGCGGAATGGTCTGGTGCATTGAAAACTGCAACTTTGATGTTGACGTGGACCTCCTCTTCCAGGAAAATTTAACCATCGGACAGAGAATGTAAATAAATTAAATATGTTAATCATAATTCCTAAGAAAATAAAAATTAAATTGCAATTTCAGTGCTTTGACCGAAAAAATCGTCACAGTTTTGGGCCATATGAAATGTCCTCACAGAATCGAGCCGCATCAAATCCAAGGCTTGGATTTTAAAAATATTTTCAGCGCCGTTCAAGTATGATATGAAAATAATTGTAACAATATTTTTTTATTGGAGATAATAAATATTTCAGTGGCTGGTTAAAAAATCTTTGGAAACTAGGCATGAGCGAGGTGCTCAGATACGAAGCTTGTCAGTCAGCAAATTCAACCGAATGTTTCCATCTGGACAAGATAAATCTGAGAGAGAAACCCATCTTAAGGCTGCCATTGTTATATTATGCCCTTTTAAGTTGGTTCCAAATTATATTTTTTCAATTCTTAGGATGCCTATGGCGTTGTTCGCAAGTTCAGACGTCAAGGGAGGCGGCCTGAGGATGAAGCATCCAGTGTCGAGAGCACACTTTTTGAGTACAGTGGCCGATCATTGTGGACAGGAGAAGTTGAAGAGAAAGACGAACTTGTATAAGAAAATAAATTTTAATTTTTTAAATTATTACCAACTTCTGCTTTTTGCAGAGAAAGGTTGAGGAGTTGATGGGAGAAATGTCCATAGCTGAAGATGTTGAGGTAATTATAGATTGATAAACTCTCAAATTTTAATTTTTTTTGGTCTTTGTCAGAGTTCAAAACTGACTGCTCTGGCGGTTGAGAGCTTCTTGAGGAATGTTGAAGAGAAAAAAATTGAGAGTAAAGTTGAGGTAAGCTTTTTGATTTGTTTTTTTTACGTAATATCTCTTTAACGATTTATTTAGACCCCGGCAGACAATCTGCAGAGAAAAAAATCGTTGCTGGAGCGTCAAAAAGAAGTACTGGTCTCAACCCTTGCAAATACTAAAGCTGAAAAAATCGAGGTTCAAAGAGAACTCGTCAAGTCTGAGGAAAAACTGGAAACTTTGTTGCAATCTCAGCAAAAGCTAGACGAAGAAACAGAACAGATTTCTAGCTTGTATACATCTGGAAACCAAGAGTATTTTTTAAGACATAAAATGTTTTGTAATATAATTAAAAAATTTCCTTAATTTAGAATTGTTGAGCAGCTTATTCGTAAAGTGGAGGAACTGGAAAGGCTCAAGAAAGACGAGGATGCATTTAAGCAACAATGCCATGAAGAACTTGAGGAGCTACAAAATAAAATGAGGCATATTAAACAAAATAAATTTTATTCATTTACTCATTATAATTAATTTTTGACTTGCAGAGATTTCCAAACAGATTCAGGAGAGTCTCGAGATTTTGTACCCTCAGATAAACTGGAGGAGCAGAAAAAAGAGCTGGCAGCTTTGCGAATCCATTTAGGAAAGCTAAACCGGAACATCGCTTCTATGGAAAGGCACATCGACGAAGTGCCCGGGAGGGCTGAATTGGCCCAGTATCAAAAACGCTTCCTTGAGCTTTATACACAAGGTAAATTATCTTGTATAAGTAAATTAAATTAATTAAATCTCATATTTAGTTGCTGACAAGCATAAAGAGACAAAGCAGTACTACACCCTTTACAACACACTCCATGACACACATTCCTATCTGAAGAAAGAGTTAGATCTTCTAAATTCCATCCAAGAGAGCTATAATTTGTAAGAAATTAAACCACAGACTACTAGTGGTCTGCAAAATTTAACATTTGGCTTATAAAGAAAATACTTTTCTATTCCTCAGGGCGATGATGAGCTCTTCAGGCAAGGAACAGTTTTCAGAGCAGTTCAAGCAAATTGTTGAACGAGTGCGCCAAAATAAGACAAAGGTGAGTTTTTTTTCAATATTTGATCTGTTGGTGCATTCAGGGGGAAAACTTTTCTTATTGTAGATCGAAGCCAAGTATAATGAAGAGAAGTCAAAGCGTGACCAGCTAAGCCAAACTTTGCTTCACCTAGTTGAACAAGAGAGAAGCTACGTCAATGCAGTCAAACAGCTCACAATTGAGTGTCGCAAAAATGAAGATTTGCTTGCCTGCGTTCGAAATAGGACTGCTCAGCAGTAATTTATTGGTACACCATCTGTTACTGGTTTAAAACAAGTAATACTATGTGATTGAATTAAAATTGTCAAATTTTACCGCAATAATTTTTTATGTAAAATCAAGCATTGTAAGAAAATTATTAAAATTAAAAAACCCCTGATTAATTTTAAATTTCTTATGATTACAGATCACTCTAGTCGTATAAATGATAATGCTTCAGAGCACCTTTAAAAAGACAAACTATATTTTAATTTTAGTAAAGGGCTTTCACTTAATTAAAGATGTGTAATATTCTTCTTCTAAGTCGTACAAATCAGCAGCCATATCGTCCCTCAGAGTCATCAGTTTCTGGTCACACTCGCCTTGCTTGGTTCGGAAGAGTTTGGAATTACTAGCGATGGCCTCGTTGACGGAAGGAAAATCGTTGAGAATCAAATATTGTTTTATATCGGAGATCAGTTTCATCAAACTTTCGCCTGCTCGCACCTGAAGAAAGTTACCGATAATTACACATTGTTAAATTAAGATGTTTTTAAGCTTACAATATTCGCTGCCCGAACGTGCATTTCATAATGCTCCTGCTCACATTGAGTAATTCTTGTAAGTTGCTGAGAATTTTGAGCTTCACTATCCCCTTTTGCTAGCTTAACGATCTCTGAAATAATAAGCTAGTTAATACAAATGAGGTTATTTTACTCTAGATTACATACCTTCAAAATTTTCCTGCATGGATTTGACATCGTCTTTCAGCCGGGTGTTGTATGATTTGAGCAGTGCCTCTTTGCTCTGCGGTAGACTGCGCTGAGCCGCCATAGGTGACTTTCTTATTCAGATTGATCAAGATGGATTTTGTAAACTATATCAAATCATATAAGGATAATGGAAAAAGACATTTTAAAGGAAAAATCAAATAATGTGTACCTATAAATGCTTGATCCTTGATCGGCACAGAAACAGACAACAACTTTATGGGGGCGTGGCCGTACTTTTTGTTTTCGCGGCACACCCCTTAGGCGATCGTCATTTGTTTCTTTCGCTGCCACAACAACCACGACAGGCGATTCCTTCATCGGGGTATCGCAAATTATCCATTAATTTCTAATCCATCCGTGGATTAATCGCCATCAAATATGGTTCAGAAGAAGGTAAAGACCTCTGTCATTAATTTTACTTGCTTAAATTTATTCGCTGGCAACCATTTAATTGATTTTCGTCCGACCGCTGTCGGCCGATGCAGATTTCACGTGTACATTGCTTTTCCCAAAGCTACATTAGTTTTTACACTATTTTAGATCTTTGCTAAAATCTTTAAAGCTGTACCGACCGCATGCATGCTATGTTCAAAGTATATTCCTATTAAAACGGTATCTTTGTCTCTCCAATTATCATTACTGAACAAAAACAAGTCAATGTCAAAAGTCCCTCCATGCCGCCAAATGCCTTACCTTTTCTTCCACATTTTTTTTTATAATTATTTAATTACTTTTCAGATTAAGAAGAAGGTTGGAAAGAAGGTCGCAGCGCCTCCTCTTGTCGTCAAGAAGGCTGAGCCCAAGAAGGTGACCAACCCTCTCTTTGAGAAGAGGCCAAGGAACTTTGGCATTGGTATGCGTTGCTTAATCATTAAATGGTTCACACTCTTAATTGATAATTATCGTAGGCCAGGACATCCAACCCAAGAGGGATCTTAGCCGATTTGTTAGATGGCCCAAATACATTCGCATCCAGCGTCAAAAGGCTGTCCTTCAAAAGAGACTTAAGGTTCCCCCCACAATCCACCAGTTCAGCCAAACCCTGGACAAGCAGACAGGTACGAAATGTGCCAGATATTATTTTCTCTTGTCTTAATAATGATGAGTTAATTATTTGCTACTCTTAAGTATCTTGAGGAATAACACCACATCTTATCTGAATCTTTATAAATTATTATTCGATGAAAGTTAAATTCTTTAAAAGGTATTAATTTAATTTTGTCTTTATGCAGCCATGCAGTTGTTCAAGGTGCTGGAAAAGTACAGGCCTGAAACCAAGTTGGCCAAGAAGATCAGGTTGCGCAAGAAGGCTGAGGAGCGTGCCGCAGCCGCTGGAAAGCAGGGAGGTGCTGAGGCTGGCGCTCCCTCTCGCAGACCAAATGCCGCTAGGTTTGGCATCAACACTGTCACCAAGTTGGTGGAACAGAAGAAGGCCCAGCTGGTCGTCATTGCTCATGACATTGAGCCCATTGAGGTAGAGTTGCGAGTTTCAAGAATTTTTTTATGCTGGGGTTGTTCAATGAGACAAAAAAATTTCAAAAGCAATGTTAAGTTACTGCTGAATTGAATAATAATTTATATAAGGATCAATTCATTGCACATCCCCATAAGTAGGACTTGAAATGATGAAAAATTTTCTTCATCTGATTTATAGTTGATGTTAAACTTCGTTGACAAATTTAATCTGATTAATAATTAACTCCAGAGTTAAATTAAAAAGTAATATTCTTGTACTTACTCAAATTGCAACGTGATTTCAGCTCGTCCTCTTCCTTCCCGCCCTGTGCCGCAAGATGGGAGTCCCGTACTGCATAATCAAGGGTAAGGCACGTCTTGGCAGACTAGTGCGTAAGAAGACTTGCACAGCAGTGGCGCTGACCAACGTCGAAGCTGGCGACAGACCAAACTTCAACAAGGTGGTTGAATCTGTGAAGAACAACTTCAACGAGCGCTTTGAAGAAATCAGACGGCACTGGGGAGGCGGCCTCCTTGGCTCGAAATCTGCAGCCAGGATCGCCAAGCTTGAGAGAGCAAAGGCCCGAGAATTGGCGCAGAAACAGGGTTAAGGACCAGCAACCCAAACCCAAGCTCTGTTCTATTATCAATAAATCCACAATTCAATAGAAAAAACTTAGAAGATCAATTTTTATCATAATAATATCCATTAGGTAGCTCATTTTGCTTTTTGTAGATGTAACCTTTTTTTTCATTTCATCAATTTTTTCATGTTATTAAGATTGGTAAGAGAAATCTGTATTTGATTCATTTATTTGACAAATGTGATAAATCAGCAACATAAACAAACTAAAAAGAATAGTTTATTGACTAATAAATAATTTTGTCTGAGGTTAGGCCTAAACCAAGTCTTGCTGGCCTGTGGCCCTTTACGGGGTGCAAAATGGTCATAATAAAAAAATTAAACAAACATTGGAAATTTTTAGAAGGACTTGCATCAAGAATTTTTGATTTATTTATCAAAATATTAGAGCGTTGCGGATCTTGTTGGCAGCAGAGGCGTTGAACTTGTCAAATTTTCTGATCCTAAAATTTCGGATGGTGTCGATGTCAACCTCCTCCTGCCGTTCCTCCAGTTCTTCGGCCGCCTCCTCTTGTCGGAGACAAAGTTGACCGTGAAGACGTCACCAGTGGACACGGTGACCAACCTCTGGAGGTGTTCTTCGATGGAAACGCGGTCTTGGTGGTCCATGTGATCTTGTGAATCCAAAACGACGGTTATCCTTGTTGCTTCCGGAATCTTAACTATCTTGATGTGAACCGACGCACCATCTTCATCTCTGTTCAATCCAAGGTTGTGCAGGACAGAGAGAGGGCAAAATATCTTCTTGGGGGCGTGCAAGGTGTGGAATTTTAAAATTCGCACGTGGGTGCACCTGCCAGAAGAGCTAGTGAGGCGAAGAATGGTGTTCTCATCTTCGCGGACTTTTGCCTTTTTCCGCTCTTGAACGACCCATCCTTTCATTGAGACGCCGAGGATGACCATGGCGTCACCGACGTCCTTGCACCAGATGAACTCTTCAAGATGAGGACCACGCAGGCGAGAGGAGTGGCTAGAAGAGTTTTTCCTGAAGGTGCAGGCATTTTCGAAGTTCTCTGACTAAAGATGATTCAAATTTTGAAGCAACAATCAGAAAATGTCAAAAACGGATATTTCAGTTAAAAGTTAAACACAACAATCACATTCGAATAAATGTTTTTTTTTTTTTCAAATATTATTGTTGGGAATTTTTTCAAAGAATTTTCGGGTATTTTGTGAAAATTCCAATGACAATGAATCATAATTTGAGTCGACAAATAAAAAGATGTTCATCATAATATATTTTCAATTAGATTCACTCATATGTCAAATAAAATTTAAAGTAATATATGATATCACGCGTGAGAAAATCATGGCCTTATTTCTTCAGAATAAATCTCAACTATAAATTGAAGAAATTAATCCAACGATTATCGTCCAATTTTTAGAAAAAAAAACCACCTAAATCAGGTAGGTTTGATTTTTTAAAAAACAGACCTACCTACCATTTTTTGGACGTGGGTGCACCTGCCCGAAGAATTTGTAATTCTGAGAACCACTTCTTCGTCTTCCCGCATTTTTGCCTTCCTCCGCTCTTGGTCCACCCATCCTTTCATCGAGATGTTGAGGGGATGACCATCGCGTCGCCGACGTCCTTGGTCCAGACAAACTCTTCAAGATGAGGAGGAACACGCGGGCGAGAGGAGTAGCTTGAAGTGTTTTTCCTGAGGGAGCCGGCATTTTTGAAGTTCTGACAAGATGATTCAAATTTTGAAGCAACAATCAGAAAAATGTCAAAAACGGATATTTCAGGTAAAAGTTAAACGCAACAATCACATTCGAATAAATGTTTTTTTTTTTCAAATATAATTGTTGGGAATTTTTTCAAAGAATTTTCGGGTATTTTGTGAAAATTCCAATGACAATGAATCATAATTTGAGTCGACAAATAAAAAGATGTTCATCATAATATATTTTCAATTAGATTCACTCATATGTCAAATAAAATTTAAAGTAATATATGATATCACGCGCGAGAAAATCATGGCCTTGTTTCTTCAGAATAAATCTCAACTATAAATTGAAGAAATTAATCCAACGATTATCGTCCAGTTTTTAGAAAACCGCACCACCTAAATTAGGTAGGTCTGATTTTTTTAAAAACAGACGTACCTACCATTTTTTGGACGTGGGTGCATCTATACCCGAAGAGTTGGTCAGCCGAAGAATTGATCGTTCCTCTTCGCGAATTTCTAACTTCTTTCTTGATCCACCCATCCTTTCATTGTGATGTCGAGGATGACCATCGCGTCGCCGACGTCCTTGGACCAGACAAACTCCTCAAGATGAGGAATACGATCGAGAGGGGTCACTAGAAGGGTTTTTCCTGAAGGTGCCGGCATTTTCGGAGTTCTGACAAGATGATTTAAATTTTGAAGCAACAATCAGAAAAATGTCATAAACGGATATTTCAGTAAAGGACTTCTTTTTGACATAGTCAAATCAAGCAGTACTTACAACAATATATAAACAGATTTTTTTGCGATTTTTGAAAAACAATTGGAAATGTTAATCACCATTGTTGTAAAGACTTGATTTGACTATGTCAATAAGAAGTTCTTAAACACACATATTCGAATAAATTTTTTTCAAACATAATTATTGCGAATTTTTTCAAAGAATTTTCGGGTATTTTGTGAAAATTCCAATAATTGAATCATAATTTGAGTCGACAAATAATAAGATGTTCATCATAATATATTTTCAATAGATTCACTCATATGTCAAATAAAATTTAAAGTAATATATGATATCACGCGCGAGAAAATCATGGCCTTGTTTCTTCAGAATAAATCTCAACTATAAATTGAAGAAATTAATCCAACGATTATCGTCCAATTTTTAGAAAACCACCATCTAAATCAGGTAGGTCTGATTTTTTAAAAATCAGACCTACCTACAAATTTTTTTTTTTTAAATCAGACCGCTCATCACATTTTCAGTATCATAGAGCGGTCGCCAGCAAATTATAATAATAACAATAATTTTTTATTTATTGTGTTTAATAAAGATAAACCCAAAATAAAAAATGAGATAAAATTGAGTGGCAAATACTTCTATGTGCGACTGAAAAAGGGCACAGAGCACAGGCTGATAGGAATTCGTCTTGGCATATGACCCTGAAAAATTGAAAAAAAATAGCGTGCAAAACATGAGACACATGATTTGATGACTCTTTAGGACAAAATATACATGGCACATTTAGTATGTTTTTACCTAATTAATCCAGTTCGTTTTGTCCTTTTAAAAATTTGCCTTTTCGATTGATGAGAATAAAAAAATCGGCGTTTAAGTATAAGAGAGGCCCAAAACCGTGAAAAGGTCATGTATGGAAATATTGAATGCTATTTCGAAATTTTGAAAATAGCAAGTTGCAGGTCTTAAATTAATAATTTGAAAAAAGCTCAAACCACAAGTCAACTGGAATTGAATAATTGTGTGTTTTATTGGATTGAATAAATAGAAGTGCCCTTGAGCTGAAGTGTTCTCTGCAGCACTGCAATTTCATTTGGCATCTTTTCATTGCGCGTCCGGGTGCCGCAGCAGCCGGTTAATGAAAAGCGACGGAAAGTCTGCCGAGACCGAGAACATGATGGCGTGTCGCATTCAGCGGCAGGGAAAATAATTCGGCTGCGGGGGGTCGTGCGTCGCCAAATGATTCTAATCTGCGAACAGCTACACTGTGGAGGGTTCTCTGTGCGTTGAGAGTCGATCGAGAGCGCGTGAGTTATTTAAATATTGATTCAACACAAAGCAACGGCGCTCCCCCATTGGCGTCGAGCGGCACGTTTCGCCTCGCCCCTGCCCCGGTCGGTACGGTTATTATTTCATAATGTGTCTCGCTACATGCGGCGCCTTTTGTCCGCGCTTTGTCTCGCAATGGCTGCGATCTGCAATCGTTACGTGCTCGAGTATATTATGTGAGAACAGCGCGGCCGCCATTGTACGCAGCTCTCACTTTTCCAACGCCTATGCGATCGCGTCCAGATATGAAACACTCCACTCTAATTCACATTTTCCATCAATTTTTGCACTCGCTCAAAAACTTATAAGTAAAAACAAGGTCCAGAAAAATCATGTTTTAGTGGAATAAGAAAAACAAAGAAGTCTTTAAAATTATCTTGTTTTATGTAGGAAAAGAATTAGACAAGAGCGACATACTTTTCTATATATATAATTTCTAACTTGTGAGAGAAATAAATAAAATATTATCATAATTTACATATTGATATTGATTTTGAATAAATGAGCAGTATTATGAAAATAATAGAAAATGGCAAAACCTTTGAGATCAGTCTTGAGACAAGGGCGACGAACTAGCAAAGTCGACTGAGGCTCACTGAAGGAGAATGGGGACTTTTTATGACTTCGGAACTTTTAGCAAAATATTTGCTAGTTCTGGCCCACAATTCATTTTTTCCTTCCAAAAAATAGTGTTTCTTCGATAAAATTTGGGCAATAAAAAAAGTAAAAAATGGGATCAATAAAAGGAGCAGACATATTATGCAACCTGCTCGATACGCATGTCAAGGAAGTTGCATACGCATGCATTTTTAGGCTGCGCCGCTTGAAAAAGGCTCCTCGAAAGTTGTTACCCCTTTTTAAAAGAAGTTTCTTGTTTGTTTTTATTTATGCTCAAATTACATACTTTAAACAGGCAATACTTAACCGAAAATTTCCTTAAATATTTAAATTCAACGCCTTTTATAGAAAACATAAACGCAACTTCAATGATTTCGTCCGAATTTTAAAATGTTGAATAGGTGCCTAGCTGTTAAAAATCGCAAAGGATCTTTTTTAAGTTGACCGAGAGATATTTACTTTATTTTTTAATTAATAAAAAAATCTGAATGCTTTGAGAGGATGTTCAGAAAGCAAGATATAATTTCATAAAAAATATTGATTATCAAATTTATTTTGTGTTTAATGGCAGAACGTTTGGATTGTTAAATTTGGGCTTTTATATTTCTTTTACAAATATAATAACCATTACCAAGGTATAAGAAGAATTTACTAAATTAAATATCTACAAATATAATTAATTTTTTTGTGCAAAGCTATGGCAATATAAAAATAATATACTAATAAAAAAAAACATGGAATTAACAATTTCAAGCCAACAAATTATAGAACTGTATTATTTCTTATTTCTAAATCTTTTTCTGTATTTATTATTTAAACAAAAGAACAAAAAATTATTTTATTCCATACAAATTTTGTTTAAACGGTTTAAATTAATTAAAAAAATATTTTAATAATTTTGTTTATATATATTTACTATTTTTTAAGCTATTATATTAAAAATATTTCATTTCTTTTTTAATTCAATAATTAAATTTTAGTATACAATAATGGATTACAATCTTAAAACTTTTTACATCAAATGTAAATTAAAGCACTTACTGCGTTAAATTAATCACAGTGTCTGGTGTGATAATTATAAACTCAGTCATTTAGTTTTTCATGTTATCAAATGTAAATTAATCAAAAGATAAAATTCGTATTTTTATGTATGATGATTTTATTGAATTCTCAGCCTTGCAAGTATTGTTTCACAATTCCCAAAGATTTCTACAATAAATAATAATTCATGGGAGAAAGAATGAGCAGCGCGATGATTCGAAATGTCTCGTTATCTCCGGGTTGGAATCCGTGAAAAGCTGCGTGTTCACACGGAATAAAACAAATTCATCATTTTTCTCTCATCCGGCCGAGCGCTCTTTCTTTGGAGAACGGTGAGCGCGAGAGAGCTCGACGGGTAATTGGTTGACACCGCTATGTTTGGGTGTTAAGTCTTAATTATTTTAATGCACATTCTCTGTGCGTGTTGATCCCTTTTTGAAAGGAGTAGTAGATTTAAAAAAGTGACTCAGCACGTCCAGCGCGGCCGACGAGGCGTTAATAATAATCGCCAGTCCAGCAGCAGCCTTGTTTGTTGCCTAGGCTGCTTTATGCGCCGGTCATTATCTAAACATTTCATCATTGACAGCTACTGCTCCTTGCTTTTGCTTGTAAACCCCCGTCATTATCTTCGCTGCTGCTGATGTGTGTTGTGTATTTTATTAATAATAATAATTCTTTTAGACACAGCAACGCGCTAATACGCCTGGCCTGGCGCGAGGCTCGATCGTTCCTTTCACGCTATAATTCTGCTTCTGCTGATGCTCGCGCAAAGCAAAAAATCGATGCTTCTGCTAATACAGCAGCAAAGTAGATAATATGCGAGTATATAGCGAGATTTAGACTCCCATCTATCAAACCATCCTCCATTAAGAAAATTATTCCCGACCTAACAAAATAAATAACAAAAGTTTTTTTGTTTTTGTTCACTCTCTGAAAGTTTTATCAAAATGATTTTATGAAATAAATATTTTCAAGCAGAATTTAAAAAGGACCAAATTTTTTACTTGAATTTATTTAGGTAATGCCTGATCTGCGAAATGGAAATTTTAAATATTCTATACTACAAAATAAAACATGGAATGTGGTTTTATTTCATTTTTAAGTGAGCACTAAAAATTACTAAAAATTTCCTTCTTGCCCAACTCAACACTAATTTATTATAGACTGACTGGCCCTGTTGCGTTAGTCATTGGGCGTGATGCGTGATTGTTAAAATCTGTGAAAAACTATATCTTTCTAATAATCCAACACAAAGAATGTAATAAACGCTATAAAATCATCAATAAAAATGCCTAGCTAATTGATATTTCAATCAAATTTCTTTGCATTTTGCAATAGTAATAATTACAAGAAGAGGTAACGCGCAGAGGAAAAATTTCAAACGATGCAATTTATAAATAATAATATCGGGCTCATAATATTATTTATTATTAACACCCAAACTTTGCTGAAAATCCCAAAAGCAAAACAACTATCAATGGTCCACTTAAATATGTCCGTCTGCATTGAAAATAAATCTGTTGGCTGTAAAAATCTTACTGGTGCAGGTTATAACGCCGCCTCAAATCAGTCAAATCTAAATAAGCTGCAGCTCACATGTGCATTTGCAGCAACACAATTGCCACAATCGCACCAATATTTTGATTCCTTTCCGTCCAGTTTAAATATTCTGTTAAGATCGTTATTGTCGCTGTAATTATTACAGCTTGCAGATTGGCCCCAAAAGCAAAGTACATTGGGAAGTGTATCTAATTATTTGACCTTGCTTCAAGTTTAACAAAAGGATGTGGAGGCTGGGTTTTTTTGTTTTTCTTAATAACAAAATATTATTATTTTTAAATTGTTTATTTCACTAAATTAAAATTATTTTTTAAGCTTTTGCTTAAAGTAGGTATGAAAATGAAATTCCACTTTTTTTATAATTTAAAAAATGATTGATTTGACATTTCATTGCTGAAAGCTAGTATAATTGAAGTTATTATTGGGTATTATAAACACTTTTTCTGTCATAATTTAATTAAAATAAGGGGAAATGAAAATTTAACGGTTGCACTAAAGCTATCAAAATATTTTGCAAGTGGCTCACCACTTCCGTAAGTTCATCACAACAAAAAACACAGCAGATTGAAAAACAAAGTACATCTGCATTGCAGTCAAATAATTTGACCTTGCTTTAATTTTAATAAATGCAAATAAAAGGATGTGGTTATTTTTTGGTTTTTGTAAAAAAAAGTGATATTTTAACCTTTCTCTATGTGACGGAAATGCTATTTAAAGGCGAGCAAGCGACAATCAACCGCATCATTGCGAAAAACGCGTCTTTATACAAACACCACACGCAAAACGTCAAGTGCGGTAAAATGATGGCCCGCTTTATGATTTCGTTGGCGCTGCTTTGTCTAATAGTTCACGTGACGCAAGGCATTATACCCATTAGACCACGTAAGTCTGATCAAAGAAATGCGATCCAAACAGTTTGATTCAGCTGAAAATTAATTGTAAAAGTTAAAGTACCCTTTTCAGTTGCGCTTAAACTTTTGCTTGATGAAAATGTCCAAAATGTCTAAAAATCAATGGAGATCAAGTTACAAAAATCACAATCCTCTTATCAAGATTTAAAAAAAATCTAGCAAATCAAACTTGATTCTAATCTAATTAAGCTATTTCAGAGGCATTAAGAGATAATTGATTTTTTTTAAGAGAAATTTCATGTTTTGCACTGCATTTAAGTTTAATTATTATTGAACCGTTTTAATTTAGATTTTTTTAATTAGCGCCACGTTTTTGTGCGCTTGGACCGATCAAGGATGGGCAGACCAACTCGTGTGATGCGAAAATCCCAAGCTTCACATTCAACAGCAGGACCCGCAGATGTGAAAATTTCATTTACGGAGGATGCAACGGTTCGGAAAATCTATTTAAAACACGGCTCGATTGCAAATTTACCTGCGAACAATATGCGAAAGGACGTAAGAAAATTTTTTTTTAACGAACAATTCTTTTGGATTACATTGATATGCTAGCAAATTTAAAATCACAAAACTGTATCAAAAGATTTTATCAATTCTCATTATCAATAAGTCAAATGCAAAAAACTCTTGGAGGACAATCATATAATTTCTCTCGCTCATTAATAATTCAAATCATAAAATATTTACCACGTTTTTCAGGTTAAAAAACTGCAAGGAAACACCTGTCTGACCTGGACTATGGAGGCCGGCGGAATCTTAAGATTCAAAATCAATCACAATCAAGATGTAAATTACCATTAAAAAAATCAATAAATCAGATGGGAATGTTAAATAAAATAATTAGTATTTTTTGAGTTATGAGCTTATATTGTGCGCCTCGTATAAAATAATTTGAAACAAAATAAGATAAGCGTTGAATTAGAATTTATTAATACAATAATATTTTTTGAACCTCTGAGTTGTCACCATGATGTAATGACTCATTGCGACGCGCCCAATTGCCACAATTTTATCAAAAGCAAATATAAGGATGTGGTTTTTTGTCATTGTGTAAACGTTTTAACCTTTCTCTATGTGATATGTTATTTAAAGGCGAAGAAGCGCCAATCAACCATCAGTGTGAAAAGGTCCATCAAAAACACAACACGCAAAATTAACATCAAGTGATTATAGCGAGTGATAAAATGATGGCGCGGTATATGATTTCGTTGGCACTGCTTTGTCTAGTAGTTCACGTGACGCAAGGCATTATACCCATTAGACCACGTAAGTCTGATCCATAATAGAAATGCGATAGTTTGAAATTTTATCGTTAAAATCAAGATTTTTTTTAAATAGCGCCACCTTATTGTTGGCACGGGCCGATCAAGAAAGGGCTGACAAATTCTTGTGAGGCGTACGTGCCAAGTTTCACATTCAATGGAAGGACCAGAAAGTGTGAAAACTTCATTTACGGAGGATGCAACGCTTCCAAAAATCTATTCAAAACATGGGCCGAGTGCAGAGTTATCTGCGAACAATCTGTCCAAGGTGGGTAATGCATTTTAATAAAAATTAATTTAGAAAAAATTCAATTTAATATGGAAAGTTTAAAATCTCAAAATTTTTTCAAAACATTTCACTCGATACATCAAGTCACAATCCAAATTGCCTCCTTGAATCAACTCTCTGAGAGGAAAGTCATTCAATCGTCCATTTCTCTTGCAATAATTGTTTCAATAATTCAAAAGTGATATTTATATAACCCGTTGTTTTCCAGGCTAAAAAGACCATAAGGACACACCGGCCCGTCTGTACCTGAAGTACGGCAGAATCGCGCAATCAAAAATTAACCCCTTATATTTTGCTTTTGTTAACATAAAGTTTTTTTATGATTTTAATCAAATGTTATAACCGTATAATTAAGGCGAAAAATAAATTTTTGAAGAAGATTGCTCGATTTGAAAGCAAAAAATTTATAAATCAGGCTGTATCAGGACTGTCTAAAAAAATTGTATTTTTTTTGCAAAATGCGTGCAGTGTATTATCTTCTCCATTTGAAAAACTTCAAAATAATATAAATATACACAAAATAAGAAGATCAATTATCTACACTCAATGGCTCTACTTTGAAGGAAGCCTTAAATTCCTGCCACATCTTACAATCCAGCAACGCACCACTCTATAGCTGTCGGCACTTTTTGGAAAACATCAAAATCTATATATCTTTTTTGTTCTGCATCAGTCTGAGGTCTGAGCGAGGGTGCGAAAAGAAAGCCCTGAAGCGTATAGAGCAGCTTTTGGATGGAAATCTGCAGAGCACTTCTTCTCTGCTGATAGCAATCGTCGACACATAAATGTGTTCCAAATGCTGGCCGCGCTCGCTGCTGCTGGTATCTGGCGCGATAAAAATAATTGTGAATGGAGCCGAGAATAATGAGCTGGCTGCGGACTGGTTTCGTGTTAACAACTGCACAATGCGACAAAAAAAATCACACTCGCGTTTCCAACCGCGCTGCGCAGTTTCATGTTTCATTTTCTTTATATAAATGTGTTAATACCAGAAAAGGGACCCCTCTAAATATGCCCACACAAAAATTTAGTTCTCAATTTGATTTACATCTCTTCCACGCCAGTTCCAATTATATCTGTGGGACAAATTATTTAGATAATTTGTGATATTATTTCTTAAGACATGATCATTTTTATGTAGATAATCAAAAAGTTATAAGCAAATACGACGTAATTTGGAAAATTAATTATTTCCATTTTGCATCTTCTAATAATTTACTTAAATCGATTAACTGTGGACATTGAAAGCTTAATTGAAAAATTGTGTTTTATAAAAGTCGATGTGTGAGAATTATATTTAATGCAATGGAATTTAGACATGGTATTTAGTCATAAATTGCAAAAAGAAAAAAAATAAGTATTATATATAAGATTATTAAGTTCTATACACATTTGAATTAAAAATTTTATTTAAAATGTCTTGCAATTTTAATCTATTTTTCTACAATATAATATAATTAAAATGAAGAAATATTTAAAAAAACTGAAATGGATTAATGAAACAATAAAATAAAATTATAACAAAAATTAAAAAAAAAAAAAAATAGTCGCACTTAACAAATCGACTCTAAAGACGCACCTCTGGACTTTTTTATTAAGTCAAATTTTTGTTACTGATTTGACACTATTTTGTTTTGATTTGAAATATATCCTGCGCGAACACTCTATGGAAATGATTTTACAAAATTGTTGTGAAAATGAAATGATTAAGTGGCTTTCTTGGTCCTTTATTCGGTAATTGTGTATGTTTTTGTCTTTCCTTCTATTACAAAGAAGTCCTGCATTTATATTCGTAATTATCAGGAGCTTGTTAGTTTGAAGAGTTAAAATTTAATTAATTTTTTTTTTTATAAGCAATTTTTTTTATAAAAACGATAAATTTGGAAAATATATGACATTCATGAACATATAAATATACATTAAATCAAGCTAGTACTTTGCGAAAGCAAACAAATTATTATCAGCGCACTGAATTTATCTGTAAGAGCTTTGCTCTCTTTATTAAAGAAACTGAAAAGCGTGCATTGGATTATTAGTTAATTATCTGACTTTTGAATCATATTTAATTCGTTTTTTTTTTATCAATTTCCTTCGTCTTATTTGATGCACTGCATATAATAAGTTTTGAATCCGCGAAATAGTTAGTCGATGGATGCAACTTTTCGAGTGAGCCGATGCCGAAGCCATTTTTGTTGGGTAATTTGAAGTCACGCATGCGTTTGCGTGCGTCCAATGGGTGTGATCGCGGCTTGAGATTGACAGATGGTAAAAAACGAAATCTGTTGTGTGCGACTGAGTATATTGTGCCCCTGCCTTTGTGCAGCGCGGGTTGCAGGCGCGGTGCGAGAACGACGAGCGCAGGAAACAATGTGACACAAAAGCCCCGCACGCAGCAGAGCAAATTAAATTTCGCTCTCCTCGCACAAAGGACCCATCAACTTTTCCATCCAATATTCATGCGACGTGCTTCACTCGCACACTGACTGAGTCGAGGGCTCCTTCGGGCAATTGACACCCAGAGTCAACACGATTTTCCCAGCAACCCTCGCGACCACCCTGCAAAGCACCCATTTTTTTCCATTTCTCTGCTCTCCGGCGAAAGTGCGAGGGGCGATGAAACGACGCGGTTTATTTGACGCCGACGACGCTCAATTAAGTTGTTACTCAAATGTGATTTACACTCGCTGTGACAGCTGCCGACGAATTTCGTAATGGATTCCACGAATCGCACGAGCAACGTCCTATAATCTACATTTAGTGACGCTTTTTCTTTCGATTTTTGCAAAATGCTCAATTATGCATTTGGAATTGATTTTTTTCCCTTGTGATATTTGTGTAATTTTATTTTTGCTAGGCCAAAATGTTATTTTATATATTAATTTCCTCTTTATACTAAACAATTTGATTTGTGAGAAGTTTCCTTTTTCATTAATCGTTTTGCAGACATTTTTTAGATGAGGATTATTTTAAAATTTTGCGTAAAGATCGCATGTAGATTAAAAAGCACGAAAAATTGGCTATATAAAGTTTTTATTAATCAATTAAGGATTCCATTTACACGCGCCAGACATCGCGGATGTAAGAAATACTTTAAAATTATAAAAGAGTTATTGTGAGCAAAAAATCAATTTTCAGTATTGAATGGGTGGCGTTATTACGCAGCCGATAGGCTTAAATCTTATATAAGGTTTTCAATTTTTTTTTTTTTTCATTTTATCAGCAATTTCTAGGAAAACTTCCGCTAATGAGAGCGGGGCTTATTTACGCTCTTATACGTTTGTTTTCATGCAAAATCAATCAAATTTAATATTAGCGTCATAAAAGATGATACCAGAATGAAAATAATAATTTGCAATTATTCTAGGGGAAAATTTGAATACGAAAAAAAAATAAAGTATTGAGCAATATTTCTTTCTGGTGATTAAAAAAATATATAAGAGAGAGAAAAACAAGAATAATGTAGTAAATTTCAATATTGATGATTTAATAATTTAATAATATTTTCTGAACACTATACATGGGGTTTGAAGATTTATATAATGTATGATCTATATTAAAATATATTTTTTTTTTCATTTTCTTTAAGGTATATGCAGCTGGAATAATTTTTCATGCATGATACGGTGAGTATAATAATTAAATATATAATCATCTGTTTCTGTATTTCTTATTGAATTTTAATGACACTTCCCTCTCTTCTTTAATTGAACGCAAAAATTCAAACAATTTTAATATTTTTTCTCTTGAAAATTTGAGTATTGAGAAGAGTACTATGAAGAGAGTAATTTAAATTTTAAGATCAGATAAAATAATTCGCACATTTTGTTGCCCTTTATGAAACGGGTCTTCTTTAAGGGCGAGAGTGACAAATAATTCATGGATATTCTGAAGTACGGGATATTGATCTGCCAGGCAGAAGCAGCGAGTTCGCTCTCCGGCTTCTACCGCCATCTACGTCGAAGCTCCGCTCGCTTCCCATTCATTCCATTTATTGCTGCGCGGCTGAAACCAGGAAATATATAATCTTGCAAAACTGCCTTTCGTTGATTTTCGGAATGGCTCTTTGAACGAATAAAATATTTCCCATTATTTCTTCTAAAACAATTAAATGAAATTAATCAGGCCAGAAAAGTGTTGAGAGGCCCATACAGTACAAATTCACCTGGTGACCTCAAACCGCATCTAAAAAATGACGATTAAGCATTAAGCCGGGGATTATGTTGTGCGCGTGGTGATATTTCACACTCGGATCTGGCGTGTTAATTAACCTTGGGGCATGAT